GGCTGCCCCCCCCCCTCCCTGATTTACTTCTGCACCTGTCGATTAAAATGCGATTTCTGCGATGAAAGTATTTTTCCTCGACGAAAAATATTGATTAGAATTGGAAAATGAGATAATTTTAAGCAGCTTTAGTCAATAATTGAATACATTTTAAAAATTCAGTAGCGAAGTGGTAAAACGGTATAAGACAATTTTGACTATTGACCAGTTTTCAATGAATCTCTCGGAATCTAAGGGAGTTTGCAAAATTTTTGTTATAACCTTTTTTGTAGAGCCGATTGAGAGCTATAACAAATATAATTACAAAAATTTCGATATCTCCCTTACATTCGGAAATATTTCTCGAAAATTCAACTGCAAGACAAGTCGACTTAAACTGGTTTACCACTTCGCTACTGAATAATTTTTTAATTGCAGTAAAACAATAAATTTCATTTGAGTTAATTTAATTTATCTCTGGAAATACTCATTGATAGAGTAACGGTAATATACCTATTCCTAATCACCTCTCATTTACTTACATTGACGCAGCCTTAATGACGCTTATCAGTAGATAATTATTTTTATGATGCATTCAAGTAAAATAATGATAAAATGTCGCATGGAATACGAAACAAGTGCAATGCACATTTTTAGCACATTTACTATTTGTGAGTTATCAGGCGACTTAGTGTCAAGGTTTCATCCTCGAATCTTATCAATACATCACAAGTATCCAATCTCCCGAAATCACGAAGATTTTAGTCAATTTATTTAATTGCAATCCATCATTCCCGTCAATGATCACTTGAAACAAAGATTTTTTTTCTCTATTATTATTGTTAGAAGCAATTTATTATTTTCCTGAGATACAAAAATCCCCCGAAGGGAAAACAAAATTATATCATAATTATTACAAGTGAATCTGATGAATTATTTACATTATTATAACTTTGTTTTAATTCGCTATTGAGTTCGCGTATTTGTTCTGTCCAGTATTTTATTTGTTTTTAATCTAATTATTTATTACTTTTATTGTTATTTTGTTTATTTACATTATATATGTTTTAGTATATTATTTATATTTGTTATTTACAATATTAGTTTGATTCATTCGTTATATTGTTGGAATTAGAAATGGCCTTGACACGAAGCTGAGAATTATTCAATAAGGAATATGAAAAAAATTTGTTGATTTGTTATAAATAATGGGGTATGCTTTGTCAGTTTCATTTGATAATTTTCATCTTTTATTGAATAAGATCGTTCTTCACTTTTGTTTCAACTATTTCAGAAAATTCCCAAAAAATTAGCACATAGATCATAAAGTGACATGTGATCGTTAATGACCGCAAACAATAATGCGCGAATCAATAAAACCATTTTTAATATCAGATTATTACCTGTTATCTCTCCCTGACCCCTTTACTCCACAACCGATACATTTATTGTAGAACAAAACGACAGTCAATGCAACATCGACTATAATCCGACATTTATGATCTCTTACACTGGGAAAAAACATTATTTTTGCTAAATATTCATTGACTTGAGGGAAGCAGGTTTTTTTCAAAATCGTATTTCTTCAATCGCGTTATTCCCAGGCGAGCCTGATTAGGATTCATTATAACAAGTGTGTTGCTCTAGAGGATGACTATGCTGCACATGACCTTGGATGAACTACTTTAATGATTATTTTTCCCAAATTTAATTACACGGTTCGACAAAATTCGGACGTCGTCGACTTCAAAAACGAGACGAAGTGTGGAAAAGTGGCTGACAACGGCAATTTAAGAAATTTATAAAAGAATTAATTTGGGCGTAATTTTTCCAGAAAAAATACAGTGAATTAATGAAAATGCAATTTGTTCAGTGCATTTGGGTTCATTGCAATTGGTTGAGTGGAAGTGAGTGAAAAAAATCTCGAAAAAGTCCAAATTTCATGATTTTTCTTGGAAAATTAAATGATCGGAAGTTGGTTGCGCACACTTTGATGCATGCCAATCTCAAATCTATCTGCACACGTGTGTTAACCTTGTGCGTTAATCTCTTTATTTTCCAACTTTATTTCAGCAACTAAACCTCTACAATTGAGGGTGACTTCTCATAAGAGCAATTAACCGGTTGCCTTGTTGGAAAGGCATCTTCAAACTTCATGTTAAGTCAAGTCGAGGTTAGCACACGTGTGTAAATAGATTTGAAATTGGCGTGCATCAAAGTTTGTGCAATCAACTTGCGATCATTTGATTTCACAAGAAAAATCATGAAATTGAGACTTTTTCAGGATTTTTTTCACTCGTTTCGCCTCAACCAATTGGGATGAAATCGAATCCCCTAAACAAATCGTATTTTCGTTAATTCATCGTTTTTTTCTGGGAAAAACTACGTTCAAATTAATTTTTACAAATTTTTCAAATAGTTCCTTTTAGCCATTTTTCAATACTTCAACATTTTTTTCCTCGATTTCTCAAAAGAAATGTTAAATCAGCTTTAAGATATCTATAAGATGGGTTCATTTTCGTTTTCGAGGTCGAATACGTTCGAATTTTGTTGAACATAATTGTTGAATAGAATTGACATAATTGAAATCTAATAAAGATTGCCTGGAAGTGACTTGACTGGAGAAATACGGTATTGAAAAAATGAATACTTCTCTTAAGCAAATGGATATTTGGAAAAAATAATTTCTCTTCTCAGCGTATGAATCCCATAAAAAAATCATCTATCCAAATTTTCAATTTCCATGAATCGTAATATTTTTAGTGGATCGTTTCAGGTAATAAAGTGTTACCGCCATGGCCTCCACGGCATTTCCCTCATCACTATCACTTATCACCAGTGAAACGTAAATTATAAACTGCAATAAAAAAGTTTAAAGTCATAAATAAATTGTATTTTTGTTACTGAAGAAATTGATAAGGTTCAGGGAAAATTGTGGTGTTGTAAAGTGGAGATCATCGAGGCGCGATAAAATGGGTTTAGAATGAATTTTAGTGGGTGTTATCAGTGTTGTCGAACCATAAATGTTTTCGCAACAACAGCTAACTGCATTGCGCACAAAGAGCCAGAAAAAAATCGTCAATGAAAAATTGAAATTCTGCATTTGCATTAAGGGGAGACTACTATGAGTTTTAAAAGACGTGGGTTATTGGAGTGAGACTTTTCATAAGTTGAAGACCCGTTATATAGATCTGAAAACGAATAATTAGTGCAAAAAAAAATTTTTTTTATTGTTCGTTTGCCCAAAAACGCTTAAAATGCTAAAAACAGTCCAGGGCCTCCAATTTTTGAGCTTCAAAAGATTTTTTTCTTCAAATTTTCGGAAAAATGTGTGGATCAACAATTACGAGCCAGTTTTTTGGAATCCGACTCCTACACAGCTGATTTATTTTTTTTGCATATAAAAAAATTCACTATTTGTGTAAAAAAAATATACAAAAAAAGCAAATTTAGCCATGTAAGAGGCGAATTAAAAAAAAACTAGCTCGTAATTGTTATTCCACATATTTTTCCGAAAATTTTGAAAAAAAAAATCCTCCGTAGCTCAAAAATTGAATGCCCTGGACTGTTTTTGGAATTTTAAGCGTTTTCGGGCAAACGAACAATGAAAAAATTTTTTTTTCACTAATTATTTGTTTTCAGATCTATATAATCGATCTTCTACGTATGAAAAGTCTCACTCCAATAACCCACGACTTTTAAAACTCACAGTAGTTTCACCTTAACCAATGCAGATTTTCAGAATTTCAGAATTCCATTTTCTATGGAAAATTCAATTATCGTCAATTCCCAGATGTCTGCAGTTGAATCTTGAAACGATAATTCAATTCATTGCGTAATCAACAGTCACAAGTGACAATTTTTCCAGCCTACTAAGCCTACGGATTCCCCAGAAGTCTCTGAATGCTAAAATCCTAAATAATCACATTTAAGAAGTAGTTTCGAGTTCATTATTTATCATCGTCTGCTAACGGCGGTGTTATGCATGCTGCATGAGTAATTACACTTCACTCGGTTCATGCAACCGGTTTCATGTGTGAAAACATTTAAATCTCATTGTTTCTCTCTTTTCCTTCAATCTATAGTGATAAGGAAAGATCTAGAGCGGGGATTCCTCAGGGGGAGTGAGGCGTTGTCTAAAATCGATCGATTGACGAAATTGCAATCGATTTTTCCTTGTCAACGAAGAAATCACAATCTATTCATAGCCTGAGGGGAAAAAAATTTTTATTTACATTCTACAATTTACATCTGTGTCAGTATTATTTACATCAAAAATACCACAAATTTACATTCAAGTTGTTTTTTTTTATCGCTAGTGTAGAAAAATTTTCACCTCAATTCAACTACACACCCATCGGTGCAATTCAAGGTTGCATTCATGTCCGATCGATTTTTCCAGAGATCGTGTGGGTTATTCAATCACCACAAAAACAGGGAGTGAGAGAGAGAGATGAAAAAATGAGGATAGAATTGAGAAAAAATTGTGAGAGCGAAATAATACTTATGCAATGTCGAGCTTCTTTATGTTTCCTGTTTTTATCATCATTTAGGAATTATACAGTAGTAATGTGTAACAATGCGACGTCTTCTAGGTTTTTTTCATTATTTTTGTTACTTCCGAATGGAGGTTTTGTAATCGTTGATTTTAATCATCTTCTAATAGAACGTCATGAAAAGTGAAGATATGATGGTTTCAGAAAATGCGTGAATATGTGTCCGGATGTGGGTGCCAATTTTTCGGAAATTTTTTATAAATTTTCACAGAAAAAGGACTAAAGTTGAAGATAAAAATCTGAAATTTCGTCACATAATTGGTATTACTTTGGAGCACTTCTGGGAACAATTTCAGCGGAATCAGTCAAGTAGTTTGCGAGATACAGTAATTTCTCAAAAATCTTTTTTCCTCAATATCTCGAAAACTACGGGA